CAAGCCAATTCTAACACCAAGCAGGCCAAGCGATGCTCCAAAATGCCATCCCACACGTTCCGACCTCCGAACAAAACTAACCAAAAACAACTCAAATACATCAAACAATGCTAAAGGAACCAATCCCGATCGAAAAAGATCAAATCTTGAATCAAAAGCCCAAAATCGGCCAAAATCCCAACCCGGGCTCACACCTCGGAACACGACAAAATTTATGAAATTCAACAACCCATTCAATTACGAGTCTAATCATACTAGTTTCACTCAAATCTGACTCCAATTCGATGTTCAAAACTCAAAAATTCATATTATAAAACTTTAGGCCAAAACCCCCAATTTCCTCTTTAATATTCACAATCCAATTACCAAAAATGAAGGTGGATTTATGAAATATAACCAAAACCGAGTAGAGAACACTTACCCCAATCCTTGTGATAAAAATTGCTCCAACAATCGCCTCAATGCGAGTCCCACATCTCAAAATATGAAGAAAGAACCAAAACCTCGATTTATAGCTTCTGCCAGCATTTTCGCACCTGCGGCATATTAGCGCTTCTGCGAAATCAGTTGAGGACTCGACCCTCGCACCTGCAGATAACATATCCGCTTCTGCGACATCGCAGGTGCGAGCCACCATCCGCACCTGCAAAATACCTCGCTCTTGCGCTCCATCACCTCACACCTGCGCATCCGCATATGCGCTCAAATCTCCGCTTTTGCGGTCTTCCTCACCCAGCACTATTTCCGCTCCTGCGACCCCTTCGTCACTTCTATGACCATAGCACCTGCACAAACTAGTTGCAAGTGCGGTCACACCAGAACTAGCAATTGCAACATAAAGTAAAATGATTTGAACCTCGTCCAAAACTCATCTGAGCCACTCGGGACCCCATCCGAATATACTAACAAGTCCAATAACATAACACGGACCTACTCGAGGCCTCAAATCACGCATAACAACATCGAAATGACGAATCGCACCTCAAATCAAAATCTATGAACTTTGAACTTTCAAATTCAATAACGCATGCTGAAACATAGCAAATCAATCCGGAATGACTTCAAATTTTGCGCACAAGTCCCAAATAACATAACGAAACTATTCCAATTCCTAGAATTACAATCCGAATCCGATATAAAAAAGTCCACTCCTGGTGAAACTTTCCAAAATTTCAACTTTCGCCATTTCGAGCCAAATTCAACCACGGACCTCCAAATCACAATCTGAACGCGCTCCTAAGTCCAAAATCACCCAACGGAGCTAACGGAACCATCAAAATTTTAATCCGAGGTCAAATGCTAAAAAGCCAAACTTGGTTAACTCTTTCAAATTTAAAGCTCCCTAATTAAGAATCATTCTTTCAAATCAGTCCCGAATAACCTGAAAACCAAACTGATGATTTTACACAAGTCAAAATATATCATACGGAGCTACTCACATCCGTAAACTACCGATCGAAGTATAAATGCTCAAAATGATAGGTCGGGTCGTTACAATAGGCTATTGGTTATGAATTTGGCGATCATGCGTACAAAGAAAAAAGGGGTAGTGTATGGTCTACCTAGGATCAGGTGGAGTGCATTGACTAAGGAAAAAACTCAGGAGTTGGGGGAGAATTTACTGGAAATGAAGGCTTGGAGGAGTAGTGGGGACGTGAGTTGTATGTGGACGCGAGGGGTGTTAGGGGTCTGGAAGGGCTTCTCTGGTGGCCACAAGGGGGCTGGTGGTGGAATGAAGAGGTCCAAGAAAAAGTGAAAGCAAAGAAAGCGGCATATGTGAAGCTAATAGAAAGCATAGATGAGGCAAAGAAGAGGGCCAAGGAAAAGTGGAAGCCAAGAAAGCGACATATGTGAAGCTAATAGAAAGCATTGGTGAGGCGGAGAAGAGGGCCAACAGGGAGTGGTACAAGGAGGCTAGAAAGGAGGCGAAGTTAGCGGTTATTGCGACTAAAACCGCAACATTTGAATGTCTGTATGAAGAGCTTAGGGAGAAAGGCGGGGATAAGAAACTGTACAGGCTGGCCAAAGTGAGAGAAAGAAAGGCCCGTGACCTGGATCAAGTGAGGTGTATAAAAGATGAGGAGGGTGGAGTTTTGATAGATGAGGCACAGATTAAGCAAAGATGGTTATATGAACATTGTATTGGGTGATTTGGAGCACTCCGAAAGTTATCGGGATTTTGGGTACGGTAGGCGCATTAGAGTAGAGGAGGTAGAGGAGGTAATGCGAAAAATGACCAGGGGTAGAGCGACCGGGCAGGGATTTTGTAGAATTCTGGAAGAGTGCGGGTAAGGCAGGCTTGGAATGGCTCTCTAGGTTGTTTAATTTTATTTTTAGGACGAAGAAGATACTTGAAGAGTGGAGGTGGAGTACAATGGTTCTGTTGTATAAGAACAAGGGTGATATCCAAAATTATAACAACTATAAGGTAGAAGGAAAGGTGAGGAGAAATGTGTCTATTTCAGAGAACCAGTTCGGTTTCATGCCGGGTCGTTCGACTACGGAAGCCATCCATCTGGTGAGAATATTGGTAGAGTAGTATAGGATGATGAAGAATGACTTGCATATGATATTCATTAATTTAGAGAAAGCATATGACAAGGTCCCGAGAGAAGTACTATGGAGGTGTTTGGAGGCTAAAGGTGTGTTTGTCACATACATTAGGGTGATTAAAGACATATATAATGGAGCTAAGACACGGAGCTAAGACACGGGTGAGGACAACTAGAGGAAACTCAGGTCACTTTCCGGTTGAGATAAGGTTGCATCAGGGATCAACCCTTATCCCATTTTTGTTTTCCTTGGCGATAGACGCATTGACGCAACACATTCAAGGGGAGGTGCCATGGTGTTTGTTATTTGCAAATGATATAGTTCTGATTGACGAGGCGCGAGTTGGTGTTAACGAGATATTGGAGATTTGGAGACAGACTCGTGTCTAAATATTTCAATTTGAGCAGGACTAAGACAGAATATTTGGAGTGCAAGTTCAACGACGTTACCCAGGAAGCGAACATAGATGTGAGGCTTGATACACAAGTTATCCCCGAAAAAGGTAGTTTCAAGTACCTTGGGTCAATAATACAAGGTGATGGAGAGATTGATGAGGATGTTACGCATCGTATCGGAGCAGGGTGGATGAAGTGGAGGCTAGCTTCCGGTGTGTTGTGTGATAAGAGTGTACTAGTGAAACTTAAAGGTAAGTTCTATAAAGTAGTGGTTTGACCGACTATGTTGTATGGGGCAGAGTGTTGGCCGGTAAAGCACTCGCATGTCCAGAAGATGAAAGCGGTGGAGATGAGGATGTTGAGATAGATGTATGGGCATACTAGATTTGATAAGATTAGGAATGAAGTCATTCCGGATAAGATTAGTGTGGCCCCTGTAGAAGATAAGAAGTGGGAGGCGAGGCTGAGATGGTTCGGATATGTTAAGAGGAGAAGCACAGAAGCCCCGTTAGAAGGTGTGAGAGGTTAGCCTTAGGGACTATGAGGAGGGCTAGAGGTAGATCAAAGAAGTCATGAGAAGAGATGATTAGACGGGACATGGCGCAGCTGGAGCTGACTGAGGACATGGCCCTTGATAAGAGGGTGTGAAGGTCGAGAATTAGGGTAGTAGACTAGTATGTAGTCGAGCGTTTCCCCCTGTACTCTCAGTTCGATAGCTTTAGTATTAGTATGTTGTCTTTTATTCTTAGATTGGTTTTACTATATAGCGTATAGTTATTCGATAGCATTAGTATTAGCATGTTGTCTTTTATTCTTAGATTGTCATTACTACCTAGCGTATAATTGTTATTTTGGCTTCGGTTTTCTTCTTTTCTCTTGTTGCTGTTAATACTTACTGCCTTCACTTCCCTTCATCCTTTCTTTAGCCGAGGGTCTATTGAAAATAGCATATCTGCCCTTCCAGGCTAGGGGTAAGGCTACGTACATCTTACCCTCCCCAGACCCCACTTGTGAGAATTCACTGGGTTTGTTGTTGTTGTTGTTACACGCCAAAGAAGAAGTATAAACCTAGAAATGATTTATCAAGAGAGACCGAGTGAAATCTTAAAATCCAGAAAAAAATAAAAATCCAACAATTTCAGAAATCAACAGAGAGAAATCCATCGAGAAAAATCCAGCAACAATAACCAAGCAAAATTGACTCCCTTTTGCAAAGAGAACCCAACAAGAAAAGCACAACAATGTCAAATATCAACCAAGCAAACCCAACAAGACAAAGTAGCAATTTCAAACATCAAGCAGGCAAATTTGATTTAGCAGAGAGAAACTCAGTAATTTCAGAGATTAAACATGAAAAATTCACTTTATTTTGCAACTACATACATGGAGATTAACCCAACGATTTCGCCGGAATCGACTTTTCCATTAGATGTTAGAATTTAATGCCAAAAAATTCTCAACCAAAAAACAATAATATGTTTTTTTTTTTGGACATAGCCAGAGAGAGGGAGCGAGAGATAAGAGGAGGAAAGACATAAATGGANTATAAAATTAAAAGGGGTGAAAAATAGAATTTTTATTTATTGTTTCAAAATCATTTTCATTTTTGGATATTTAGCCTTATTAAAAAAATGGAAAATCAAAATGGCCCCATGTCATTTTTTGATTCGATCTATTGCCACATCATTCGAAAGTGAACAATATAACTTAATTTTTTATACAGGGTAAGCGAGAGGTATTTAATAGCTATATTTAAAAATAAATTGAAGTGATCAATAGCTACTGACTATAATTAAAGTGTCTAAATAGAAATTGAGGCGAAGTTTAAAAGGCAGTGGTGTATTTGGCCAAAAAAGTAAAAGGCAACAGTGAACTATGGTTGAAGCAAACGAGACTGCCGGTTTAACTCTCCTGGTCCAAACGTGATGAGTAGAACACTGAAGAACGGGTTGTTCACTGCATGTTGGACACGTGTCGTACGCTCCCCTTCCTCTTACCCTTTTCTTTTTGTCTTTTTTCCTTTCCTCCTTTTTTTTGTTTTTGAAATGCTAGGCTGTAAGGGCAAATACATTTCTAACGGAAAAAAAGAGAGTATCTAAACTCAATAGCTATCGGACTGAATTGGGAAGCTGCCTTTAAATTCAATGGAAATGAAGCATCTTTCCTCTATTGCCAACGACGTCATTTGTAGATGTGCCCAGTTAGTGTTCTCTCTCTCTCAGTTAGT